TTAATCGTCTAGACTCTTTAGGATTTAACTGTTAGAAAAATTTTCCATTTGTTGATAGGCCAAGTTAAAGTTTAGAAAATAATTTTTTCTTATACTTTGCTTTGGGCCTAATGGTTATGTGTACCCCTAAAAGAAGCTTAGGGCTTTCTGTCTATTCAGTTGGAACATCCAGAATTTACTTTCTTATTTCGTAGCAGTCACCACTAGAGGAGACAGCACAGGGAATTCAGCTTATTATCAATGGAATTTAAACATTTGTGTGTGTGTGTGGGGGGAACTGCAGTTTTGAGTCATGCAACCTCAAAGAAAGCAGAGAAGAGAGGTAAGAGATGCAAGAACATTTTGTTAAACACTTCTACTGCTATATGAAGTTTATTCCTGTATATTTTAAAGTATTTTGAAAGATTTCTTGAATTATTAACCATTAAAATTCTAATCTTACGTGGTTGTCAATTACCAGATGCTTTCATCTTCAAGGGGAAAACATGGGCAGTTAGTAGTCTTCCTCACCTAATCCATATGCTTAAATTTCTCCATTGTCATTAGCAACCTAGTAAATCGTTTTAATCCCTGCTTATCCTCTAAATTGTCATTTTAAACAACGAGAACTTGCAAAGCCTATGGAGAAATGAATCTTAAGATGATTGATACATAGAAAGAATTCACACATAGAAGTTGTTCCCCATACCTTTGGCCAGTTGTAATATTAATAAATCACCTATCATTATTGGATGCTTACTCTGTTGTATTCCAATGATTCCCTCAGAGTTTGGGTGTTTTAAAAATTAAAATACTGTAACTCAGAAGCTAAGTACTTGCCTGAAATTATACAGCTGGGAAGTGGTAAAGGTATTATTATTATTATTATTGGTCTCTCAAGTACCTGGGACTACAGGCGCTGGCCACTATGCCTGGCTATTTTATTTTACTTTCTTTAATTTTTAAAATTTCTTTTACAGACGGAGTCTTGCTCCTGGTCAGAGCTGGGTCTCAAACTCAGAAAGCTGAAGCAGTCCGCTTGCCTCAGCTTCCCAGAGTGCTAGGATTACAGGTGTGAGCTGCCGAGCCCAGCAGCACATGCATTATTTAAATCTGATCTCACAGGTGTCTTTCCGTTGAATCACATGGTCTGGTAAGTGCTTTATTTTGCTTAATAATAACTTATCATTCTTTCTTCATTTTGTCTCTCTTTTTGTAGGGGTAAACTCAGTGTTTTTCCTTTTATTTTATCCATTCTGAGGCCAGTGAAAGGTCTGTCTGATGTGAGAAAGGATAAGAAAATTGATGTCCTAGAATTAAAGCATTTAATTATAGATAGTATAACATGATTATAAAAAGTCAAGTATCAACTTTTTAAGTTTTTCATTTTAAAAGTATCAACTTTTTAAAGACAAATAGCCTATTAATAATGTTACAGCCTAGTGTTCTGTCCATGAGCAGTATTGATGTGTTCACTTGAAATGCTACATGTTTAAAATCACGGGGATTGAAAGAACTTATTTTCTTTGTATGTTAATCTTAAGATTTACAGAAGTTACTGATTTGGGCAGATCTGAAGACTGAGAGTTTGTGAGCTTGTATCATAGGTAATTTTTCTTTCACATTCTAAAAGAAGAACAAATATGTATTGACTATCTATGATACTACCTTATGTATTTTATTTGGTCCTTGAATAAACCTTTATGAAGCAGGTATTACTAAAAGCTCCCGTTTATACGCTAAAAAGTCAGAGAACTGAAACCAGAGTAGTGAAGTGGCAGTGCCTCCTTTGAGGGCATATAGCTAAAAGCAGAAATAAAGCACAACTAGGGAGTTAATGGCCTCCCCCTCCCCGACCAAGGTAGCAAGATAAAATTTATACCCCTGTAACCTCCTAGGTGTACACAATTCCAACAGGCGCTATTCCATAGTAGTGTGTAAATGGTGCCTGTGTTTTAGGGAGTGACATTTTTGTCTTATGTATGACACTTTGTCATACATAAAATGTATGAACAGTATTTCCATTTGGAATTGTACAACTCCTAGCCTTGAGAACCACCTTCCCCAAATCCAGCCAGAACCTTCAGAAGTCCGCACACTCAGTGAAGGGTGAACCAGAAAAATATCTCCCTCCTAGCAAAGGTAGATCACAAAGAAATTTGTTCATTTTTACCACAGCTTCAGGTAAGGGAATGAAGATACCACCTGAAAACTTAAAACTGGAAAGTCTATCACCTCTCAGATTCAAAGTTCAAATTTGCATGTCTCTGTGGTCTAAAGAACTGAAAGCCAAGAAAATAACAGAAACTTGGCCCAGTCTGGTAATGTGCCAGAGTGCCTGGGCAAAACAAATACGCTTTCTGAATGATTAACCCTTAATTTAAGCCTTTCAGAAAACTCCAGATATTAAGATCATCCACATACAAGCTCACAGTTAAAAATCATAAAACACATGTGTAAGAGACAGTTGAACGACAAGAATTCTAAGGACTTTAGATTATCAGAAACAACATTTAAAGAGATGAAACATGAAAAATTAAAGATTTTAGAATAGTGATTCAAAATGTATACAAACTGAAAATGACTATCTCAGAAGCCTATCCTGGGGAAAGCAGCTGTAGGATTTTGGCAAGGAATTGTCATCATTAACTAAATAGATGAAGAAAAAAAATGTTGATGGGCTTTTAAAGACTGACAATGAAAAAAGAACAGAAAAGAGATTATGGTAATTCAGACAGTAAATTACTCAATTGAACACTGTAATGGTGACTTTAGGGATAAAGATAAAACTGATTTATCAACATGTAAATGTACGTGTTTTAGCAACAAGTCATATGATTAGAGTTTATGAGAAGTACAAGTCAAAGTGGCTGAGATTTCATTCTTTCAGAGTTCAATCTGACATGAGGAAGCTATAAATATTTACAGATTTCATGGGAAATACTAAATTTTTTTAGGCTGTCACACTATAAAATACTCCTTCAGACATTATTTGGTGTTACGATGAAATTGCTTTATTTTACTTTATTTTTTAATTCTGTCTCTATCAGGGTCCAGCTCTATGACCTGGGGCAGTTCTCTTAACCTTCAATTCTACTGAGGGGAGTAAATGAGATACTGTATTTATGGGGTTTAGTAAATGTTGGTAAGGCATGGTAAACACACCGTTTGCTTTGCAGTGATGATGGCTAGAGTAAGTGATTGGCAGCAAAGTAAATATATATATTTATTTATTTTTATTATTTTTTATTAAATCATAACTTTGTACACTAATGCATTTATGGGGTTCAGGGTACTGCTTCAATATACAATGTGAAATGCTTTCATTGAACTAAGTAACACATCCATCACAATTATACTCATTTCTTAATAGTTTTGAAATGTACCATTACATCATGCACATTAGGTGAGGTCCCCCCAAATATCTTCCCTTCTCCCCTATCCCCCCCTCCCCTCTCTCTCCTCTTTCCTTCTACTTCCTGGATTATAGTTAGGTTTTGCCATTCATATGAGTGTATAGGTGATTATATATTGATTTCATAGTAATATTGAGTACATTGGATACTTTTTTTCCCATTCATGAGATACTTTACTAAGAAGAATATGTTCCAGCTCCATCCAAGTAAACATAAAAGATGTGACGTCTCCATCTTTTCTGTGGGTGTATAGTATTCCATGGTGTACATATACCACAGTTTGTTTATTCATTCATGGGTCGATGGGCACTTGGGCTGTTTCCATGTCTTGGCTATTATGAATTGGGCTGCAATAAACATTCTGGTGCAAATGTCTTTGTTGTTAAATGATTTTTGATCATCTGGGTATATACCTAGTAGAGGAATTGTAGGATTGAATGGTAGGTCTACTTTTAGTTCCTTAGGCATTCTCCAAACTTCTTTCCAAAAAGGTTGTATTAGCTTGCATTCCCACCAGCACTGTAGAAGCATTCTCTTCTCTCTGCATCCATGCCAACATCTGTAGTTTTGGGATTTTGTAATGTGGGCTTATCTTACTGGAGTTAGATGATATATCAAAGTGGTTTTGATTTGCATTTCTCTGATGATGAGCATTTTTTCATGTGTTTGTAGGCCATAAGCCTACAAAAGTTTCTGTTCAAGTCTCTTCCCTATGTAGAAATGGAGTTATTTATTCGTATTGATTGGTTTGAGTTCTCTGTAGATTCTAGTGTTCAGACTTTTGTTGAAAGCATAACCTGCAAAAATCTTCTCCCATTCTGAAGGTTGTCTGTTTGCTTTACTTACTGTGCTCTTGGCTGTGCAAAAGCTTTTTAATTTGATGAGATCCCAGTAATGTATTTTTGGTGTTGGTTTCAATTGCCTGGGGGTCCTCCTCATAAAATTTTCACCCAGGCCAATTTCAAATGTTTGCCCCCTGCACTCTCTTCTAGCATTTTTATAGTTTCTTTTTTCCAGTGAGAATCAATTTTTGTTAATGGTGAAAGGTGGGGGTCCAGTTTTAGTCTTCTACAGGTCGCCAGCCAGTTCAACTAGCACCATTCGTTAAATAGGGAGTCTTTCCCCCACTGAATATTTTTGATAGACTTGTCAAAGATCAAATGACGATAAGTAGCTGGGTTCATCTCTTGGTTCTGTATTGTGTTCCATAAATCTACCACTCTCTTTTTGTGCCAGTACCAGGCTGTTTTGATCACAATCGATTTATAGTATACCCTGAAGTCTGATAATGTGATACCTCCTTATTTGTTTTTATTTCTGAGTAATGTATTTGCTATTTGAGATTTTTTATGATTCCATATAAAATGAAGTACTATTTTCTCAAGTTCTTTAATATGACAATGGTGCTTTAATAGGAATTGCATTAACTCTGTAGATAGCTTTGGGTAGTATGGACAGTTTAACAATGTTGATTCTTTGCAATCATGAGCATGTCCTGTTTGTCCATTTGTTAACGTTTTCAGCTATTTTTTTTTCTCAGAGTTTCATAGGTCTCTTTATAGAGATCTTTCATGTCCTTTGTTAGATAAATTCCCAGATATTTCATCTTCTTTGGCACTATTGTAAAAGGAATAGAGTCTTTGACTGTTTTTTCAGCTTCAGTGTTGTTGGCATTTTTAAAAGCTACTGACTTGTAAGTACTGATTTTGTATCCTGAGACACTGCTGTATTCCTTAATCACTTCTAAGAGTTTGGAAGTTGAGTCCCTGGGATTTTCCTGGTATAGAATCATATCATCAGTGAAGAGTGAGAGTTTGATCTCCTCTAACCCAATTTGGATACCCTTAATCACCTTCTCTTGCCTGATTGCAATGGGTAAGACTTCCATTACTATGTTGAATAGCAGTGGAGACAGTGGGCATCCTTGCTTTGTTCCATATCTGAGTGGAAATATTTTCAATTTCATACCATTCAATATGATATTGGCTGTGGGTTTGCTGTAGATGGCCTTTGTCAATTTAAGAAATGTCCCTTCTATGCCTATTTTCTTAAGTGTTCTGATCATGAAAAGATGCTGGATATTATCAAAGGCTTTTTCTGCATCAATTGAGAGAATCATGGTCTTTGTTTTTTATTTTATTGATGTGATGTATTGTATTTATAGATTTGCATATGTTGAACCAACCCAGTAACCCTGGAATAAAACCAACTTGATCGTGGTATATAATTTTTTTAATGTGTTGTTGAATTCTATTTGTTAGGATCTTATTGAATATTTTTGCATTGATATTCATTAATGATATTGGTCTATAATTTTCTTTGTTGGATCCTTTTCTGGTTTGGGTATCAGGGTGATATTTGCTTGATAGGATGTGCTGAGAAGTATTCCTTCTTTTTCTATGCTTTGGAAAAGGTTGTATAATATAGGTACTAGTTCCTCTTCAAAGGTTTGGTAGAATTTGGATGTGAAGCCATCTGGTCCTAGACGCTTTTTTTTAGGCAGATTTCATATTGTTGATGTTATTTCAGTGGTTGATATAGGTCTATTCAAGATTTCTAATTCTTTCTGGTTGAGCTCTGCTTCCAGAGCTTCCAGATATTGGTCCATTTCCTTCATATTTTCATATTTCTGGAAATAGAGATTTTTGTAGTAATCATTGAGAATTTTTTGAATTTCTGAAGTGTCTGTTGATATTTCTCCTTTATCGTTTCTGATAGACTCTAATCTCTCTAATCT